TAAATGGTCAATTTTTACTCCATACAGGTGTCTCTTTCAGTGGAAGTGACTATTACTAAATCTTCAGCTCAATAACTAATTAGCAGAAAAAGAGAATGACTCTGATTACTAATTGGCAAAGGACATTTGTAAAATGATTTAAACAACCCCGTATTTTCTTTTTTTTCTCAATTGAAAAATCAGATAATAAATATGATCAGTCACGATATAATATGTGCAAAAATAAAACTGTTCTAAGTGCACATATGTTCAAATATGCTCATCTACATAGTAATTTAATTCTATTACTATTTACTAAGTACCTACAATGTTCAAGGTCCTACATTCACAGGGCTCTGAGGAAGTCACACAGTGGATGAGTCGCCAGATGTTTCTGAAAGGAACTACTAGTCTAGTGGGGGTTATTCAAGAATTGAGACTACTGGGGAACACAGGACGCAGAAAGGTGAGAGTTGAAAGGGCCAGCATTAGCACTCATAGCCTCACTGGTATTCCAGATGATTCTAGATTAATGCTCATGCTCTTGGGACTTCAGGACTCCAAGATCAGATAACCTCCAAGTCTCACAAAAGTTAAAATGACGGCCCATCATCAACCAGGCAAACAGCTGGTTAAACTGTCTACCACGGGCAACTGTCATGCGAGTCCCAGCATCTTACCCAGCATTTGTACTTAAGAGCGTTGAGCACCCTGCAAACTTAAGTGTTTTTCAGCTTTCAACCTGGTAAATTGTCTGAAGAAAAACAAATGATTTTTGATCAAGAAACCAAGAGAATTCTCTGATTTTAACTAACTGGTGTCCCCTCCGCCCCCGCCCCGCCCTGCCAAATTAGAGGACATCACTATAATCATGCCAGATTTTAAATAAGCTGGACATTTTCTGGTCTAAACACCAAATTCTCTTTCACAACTCCGCAGATTCTTCATCAGTCACACCAGATATATCTTTGTTTCTGAGTTTTTAATTTTGGTTCAGGGCAGGACAAATGGAAATCTGAAACTATGGGAAATCGAAAGCATGCTGGAAGTACTAATACATGCTAAGAATTAAAGAGACCTGTTCCACTATGCATCCTGTCAGTTATATAAAGCAGATGCTTAAATTTATTTTTAAATGACAAAACATGCGACAAAAAGTCTATATTCTATCGTCATTATTTCATATGTAACACTGAGTTTTTGAAACCAGGCCTTGTGTCTTATACTCCTTTCAAATAGTAAGCATACATGATGGATGGATGGGTGAGTGGATGGATAGATGGATGGATGGATGGATGGATGGATGGATGAAAGGAGGAAGCCAGGAAAGCAGATATTCTATCCTTTTTAAGCATGTATTTTAAATGGCTTATAAATAGTATAAATATAAGCAGATAGCAAATCTGCTTCTTTTAATCTACAAACGACTTGTTGACAAACAATTGTTTTACTTCTTAAATATTTACGAATAAACATATTCAGGCTAAAGAAGCAGCTACCTGGAATAAGTAAGGAATAAACCCTCATCTGAGCTAGGGTCCAAGGCGTTTTCCGTGCACCATTCTTCCACATGCCGACTCTCCCAAGAAGCTTCTAGTAGGGAGGCCAGGGTGGGTACGGGGACTGGTGAACAGTCGCCCGGGCTCATCGGGGACTGTCACAGTGAAACTGTGCAAACTCTTCCAAGTGTTGGAAAACCAGTAAAATAAAAAGTGGTTGACTGTGAAAGTGATGTTTCTATTTCCAGGAATCCAATGTTGGCATGAAACTCAAGGGCCTGATGCTGGTATTACTGTCAGCAAGGTACAGTATAAGCAGAAGACAAACTTCCTTGCCAAACACCTGGATTTAGATCCAAAGCCGAAAGCACGTTTCTTTCGTAACTCGGAGGAAGAACAAGGTAGACAACAGTAAGTGGCTTGTACCTCCCGAGAGCCCAGCACCAGCCGGGGCAGAAGTCCCGGCCGCTGATTAAAGGCGTTGTCCTGACCACCGACACCACCGTGGCGAAGCGAGGGCCGCCTCACGGAGCCAGGTCAGAGGACACTGATTCCTCTATGCAACTCGAAGGCACCACTTTGTAAATGACACAATCATTTGGGGGTACAAGAGGTGCTTTAAATGTGGTAACATTATATCATTTCAGCTATAATGATCATAATTACTTATTTCTTTTAATCACAACCCACTTAACCACTTTAGTACAGAGGACTAGTTCAAGGAGTTTAATTTCCATTCAACATCTAATCTTTGTGTTTACTGAAACCCTTCCCGGGCTTTGTTTACTGTCTGCGCGCTGGCCTGGACGTTTGATCTTGCAGGACTAGATCAGACAGCGTCAGATAAAATACTGATTACTAGAATAAACCAGGCTTGGGGAAGGAACTCTGATTTTTAACATCCTTGTTGCTCCCAGCTTTTTAATATTTTGCTAAATAAACTCAAATAAACAAATAGAATTAAGACAACTAGCAATCAGGGGGTTCTTAAGCAATGACTGAGGAGAAGAAAGTGATGGGGATAATTTTGCTTTTTGAACAAACTATGGGGTTTGGTTAGGTCCATGCATTCTAGTGGTATTATTTTATGACACAAATAATTTCACGATATGCACTAGTATCCATGTGAACTTGCGATGACCCTTTAATTCTGTGACATATTAAACACTTGAGCTCGACCTCACCAGAGACAACAGTTCACTTGGTGTTTGGTGCCAAGTACAAAACACTTTAGATATAAAATTATTTTTTAACTTGTTAATTTTTAATTAGGAAAGATTTAAAATACAAGAGCCCTTCTTTGTTGTCACTATCTTATTCTTATAAAATCCCCTGCATGAGTAGACTGCCATAAAAGTATCGTTGCTAATGGTATGGCCCTCATAATTCCACTTAGTTTCATAAAAATGGTGGGGAAAGTTTTTGCTAAAAGTAACACAAAAGAAGAATGAGGTTAAAAATAAGTTTTTTATTAAAATGTATAGAAGAGCCCTAGCTGGTTTGGCTCAGTGGATAGAGCATTGGCCTGAGGACTGAAGGGTCCTAGGTTTGATTCTGGTCAAGGGATCAGTTGTGGGCTCGATCCCTGGCCCTTGTCAGGGCAGATGCGGGAGGCAACCAATGGATGGGTCTCTTTCAATGTTTCTGTCTCTCCCCCTCCCTTTCACTCTCTCTAAAAATCAGTGGAAAAATATCCTCAGGTGAGGATTAACCAAAAAATAAAATGTATAGAACCTATGAAAGAAAAATTGACAGAGTAAATCCTACATAATCCCAAGAATTCTTGAAAATAATGTGATGGCATGAACATCTTTAGGTCTTTGTGGACTATCCTTGCATCGAACACTAAAACTCCTCCACATTAAACAACTGTTGATATTACCCTTTTTTGTTCTGTTACACAACATGCACGCTTCTTTCCTTATACTTTGAAGCTTACTGCTCTACATTGTAAAATGTCGGCCAGAAGCAATTTATAGTATGAGATGAACAGCAATGAAACGAAATGCTGTCTAAACCAACCTACTACCCCATCCACCCGCTTCATTTCTTCATGGGATGGAGGCTCAGAGTTCTGGACCTTAAAACCAGAGTATACACACTGTCTTCCCATCCACCATGAATTAACACTAACGTTAACTCAAATATGTCTGTGTCAACCATGACTGTCTTTGAAATTAAAGGAAAAAGGTAAACAGAATGTGCTCTGCTATGATCTCTGGGGAAAATAAAGTTAACAGGCTAACCCAAACCAACTTAGGTCTTTTTAAAAAACAAGTGTAAATAGTTTAGCTTTAAAAACAACAAATTCAAAAAATGCACATTAAAATGTTTACTTCAAAATTTAGACAATTCCATTTGTATATAGTTTTTACATCTGTTTTTAATGATATCAAGTTATTGATTGTTCATTTTTCTCATATTTATTTAAGCATTAACTATAGAATTTGCAATCTGATCTTTTTTTTTTAATCCTTCCAGTAGACTTTTATTTTTGCCAGGTTTTAGTCATATTTACTTTGATCTTTCCGAGTATATAATTATTTTACTGTTTATTTATTTCTATGAGAAGAGAAAAAAAAATTGACCTAGGAGATCTATATGTGGCAATTTGTAACAGAATCACATGGCTTATGTTTAGGAAATCGTGGTTTTGATTAAGAAGCAACCATTTAGTTCCCACTGTTTTATTAAAACAGACATTAGCAGAAAATAAGAAACATATTTGACAATGCAGCCGGCCTTCAGTTTGGGACATCAGTGAGTTAGCGTGAGATTTCCTTCCACGCTGACTATCAGCCATGGGACACGTAACTAGGTAACTGTGGGCTGAAAGCGAGGAGGGAGGGGTGGTGGTGAGGAAGCCAGAAGCAGGGAGAGCTGACTTCTCAGCTCTCAGGAAGAGCCCCGAGGTGGAATTCTGGGTTTGCTACTACCCATTTCCTTCTTTTTATTTATTTATTTTTCATTTTGAAAATGGATGGACACAAACAGAAATCTTACACACACAATCATTACTTTCTCGTGAGAACTGGATTCTATGAGAGAGGATCCCCCACAGCAACATCTATTTGGAGCATAAAGCTCCTAGCCAATGAACCGTGTCTGTGTAGGTCCAACACGTGCTTTTCTCTGGGGGTCGAGAGTTAATAAAACACTCTTCTCGGGTGTGGATTTTCTGCACACCCTCCTACCTGCCGAGAATGCTTTGTTTTCCCTCCCACCCCCCGGGCTGATGCATCAACACCACTTGAACTGTTTTACGGCAGCTTGTGTTTACTTCACACATACCTTAACCTTCCCTGTTCTCCTCCTACCGACACACACGCTCGCATACACACACTTTCCGCAGGAATGACTAGCTCCATCTCCCTGAACAGCATGTGTACACAGCGTCTGGCAGCCTCTCCAGGTATGTGGATCCTTGACCCCTGATTGAAATCAAGGTCTTAGTCTGCTTTTACGGCACTTAAACAATTTAACTGTGCATTTACTATCTTGAAAAGAAAGAGGAAAAGAAACCTGGATTGCTAAGGAAAACAAGAGAAAAGTAGAAGCCGTAAGGGTTAAGGTGTGTGTGCACAGACTCACACAGACACACGCACTCTCTGCAGTGGCCATCCTGAAACACTAGACTGAAGGGTTTCCAGTCTTTCTGAATCTGGGCTTACACTCCAGACGACTAAAGGACACGCTCTTGCGTTCTCTCGTAACAGCGAGCAAATGGGATTCCACAAGTGACCTTGGAGCTGAAACATTCTGTTGATTTTTAACCGAAGAGGGTATGTTCAAGCACTTGAACCATCTTATGCTAAAAGAAAAACTTGGAGACAGCACTTACAGAAAAGAAACCCTTCTGAACCATGCAATCATGTCTTGTGGCGAGGAGTTGTTCATCGTATCCTGTACAAGAGTTAATACTAATAATATTCTAAAGCAAGTGCCGAGCCAGAATCTAGAAGGTCCTAAGAATTTGAGAATGGGTTGAAAAGAAAGAGATCTGAAAACTCAGTCTCCAGTGGATTTCGTTTCTTTTGGGAGTTCAACATTTTGACATTTTTATAAGTTGTGTATTTAGCATAAAATGCTCTCACTCCTTTGTAATCAAAAATTTGCCTCCAAAGGCAACCTGGTAAACTAACTCCCAAATGCTCAACAACCAGCAAGCGCCCCTTCCACACTGAACCCCGAGAGGAACCAGCTGTAGTAAAACAAGTAAATCCATCCTTCACTGTTACCTACTACCCACCAACCATGCCATTGGCCCTCAATGGGGCAGTGAATTAACAACAAGGCTACGAGAACCTACAATGAAATGTGATGGATGATGTCATAACTATGCATAATATGTACTGAAATACCTGTGAACATCAACCTATTATGTTACCAAAAATTCCCCAAGTGCCCTCAGGGGCCAGCAGCGTTTGAATTGAACAGCATTTGAACTGGGGTGAGAACAACGTAATTTTTCCAACATTGACATATGTGCAAAGGCCAAATATCACAAATATATTTAAAGGACTGGATGGTCTAAATCGCATGACATTTATTATATAACAGAGTTGTATATTCAGGACCAGACATAATTTCACATGTAAGACATTACTAGTAGTACAACTACTGCTATTAATTATTGTTATAGTAGGAGAGCTACTAATTAAGAGATTGCTTTGTGCTAGTATTAAGTTATTAATACTAGCTAGCCAGCAACTTAGATACTTTTATCACTGCAACTTTCAGATAAGGAAACTGAGTCTTGGTGAAGTTAAGAAATGTTTGAGCTCACACAGCTGGCAAATGAAAGATAATGATTTGAACACAAGTCCCTCTGCTTTAACCATGGATGGCTCTAGAACTGTCTCCGAATACAATAGCAAAACTCCATTTCTGACTCCAAAATTCCTGGGACCACAACAATCCTTCTAATATGTAGTTGCTACTTAAACTACAAGTGCTGATTTAACCTAGAATGACTGCTTTTAAACTTCCATTACTATATAAGTGGAAATGATTCATTGATTAGCTTTTAAATAAACATGCCTATGTGAAATAAACCATTTCAAAATATTTTGAAAGATCTCAACCCCCACAAGCATCTCTTGTGAAAACTATAAACCTCATCTATTATGCTAAGAATTTTACTTTTAGCCCTAGTGGGTTTGGCTCAGTGGATAGACCACTGGCTTGCAAACTGAAGGGTCCCGAATTTGATTCTGGTCAAGGGCATATACCTCGGTTTCAGGCCCTGATGGGGGAACATATGGGAGAAAACCAATCGATGTATCTCTCTCACATCAATGTTTCTCTCTCTGTCTCGCCCCCTCCCTTCCACTCTGTCTAAAAACCAATGGAAAAAATATATCCTTGGGTGAGAATTAACAAAACAGAACAACAACAAAAAAGAATTTTACTTTTAGTTCTAATACCATCTTAGTTTTAAGGAAGTCAACTGGGATCTCTTGATGGAAATATTAAGAATATTATCTTTATTAAAAATTACATAAAATTTCCATTTTAAAAGTATACCTAAAATTAGCATAAATTCCAAAGACTCAACAACTCATTAGCCTAAGAAACTGAAAATAGGCTTCAAAAATAAAAAGCTTGCCTTTAATCTTCTTGTACTTCTTATACCATCGCCCAAACTCCTGGCACTTGGTTGCTGACACGTTGGCATAATATGTGCTATTTACAATGGATGAAATCATACTCTGTAAAGAAAAAAAAACACAGTTATTTTTCATAAATGTGAGGACACCCTTTTAGGGACAAAAAAGGGCACACAATCGCCCAAACCAATCTCCTTTGTCTTTTAAATTGGAAGGGCTCACCCTCCTGCAAACTAAACTATTAAACACTAAATATGATTACCTAGCCCTAGGTGGTGGGGCTCAGTGGATAGAGCGTTGGCCTGCGGACTGAAGGGTCCTAGGTTCGATTCTGTCAAGGGCACATGCCAGGGTTGTGGGCTCAATCCCCAATAGGGGGCGTGCTGGAGGCAGCCGATCGATGATTATCATCATTGATGTTTCTGTCTCTCTCTCCCTCTCCCTTCCTCTCTGAAATTAGTAAAAATATATAAACCAAAACAAAAGGTAAGATTACCTAAATTTACTACCCCTTTAACTAATATGTGTCAAAGTATAAGGGACAGTGTCAGAGATGGATGGGCAGGCCACGCACGGCCGATGCCCAGGGAGAGAACAGTTGTGATTCAGGAACCAGAGCACCAGGTGAGGCCCGAAGCCGCGGCCTCCGTCCCCCAATAATGCCTTTCAGATGCGCCTGTTCCCTCTCCAACGGCAGCGAGCGCAGAGAGCCAAGAGCCAGGGAACATCCGTGCTGCACGCTGCAGAACAACGTTTAGGGAAATAAGTTAAATTAATATAATTTATAGAAACGTGTGATTAGCACTGGTGTGAAAATTCACCCAATGAAAAAATTAACAGTGCTATTTTGGAGCCAGGGAAACTAGGCCTAACACTTGTACTATGTTTCAACCAAAAATGAATCCAAGCCTAGCCTTTCTGAGTGCCTCCCACTGGGTTCCTCTCGCTCCTCCTCCTCCCCTTCCTCCTCCGCAACTGGGGTAGAAAGAGAAGGGGATGTAACCCACTCACCACTGAGAAACTAAAATGGTGATCACACACCGTGAACTTTCTACAGCCATGTTTTCAGGCAATAGACCATGTCCGGGCTAGCGTTGGTGGCAAACAGTAACTTACACCTCAATGAGTGTGATAGGATAGGCGTGTGTTCTATAAATAGGTTTTATTGCTGCAGATTCTGTCTAAAACAAATGGACATAAACAATGCAGGAGCTCTGAAGGTTTTATATCCTGCCTTGGACTCATCTTTCTCTAAAACAGACCCCCAGATACAAAGCAGCTGAGAGAAATCTTAGGGCGTCTCGTGGCCTTGCTGCAGAGGAGCTGAGGAAACGGAGGATGGCACGTTATTCACCAGGAGGCTCCCGTGCCCATTGGAAACAACGCCCTCTGCGCGCCCACCCGCTCCCTCTTTCCTATCGGTGTGCAGCGCTGGTGGGGGAGGGGCCCTAATTCAATTCCCAGAAACCCCTTTGGCCCTTTCCCCAGAGCAGATGGCCACCCTCCCCCGGTCTCTGATCTCTAAGTGACAGCTCTGCTCTCCAAGGGGAAATAATGAGAACTCTCAACTCAGGATCTGAGCGCAGCCCTCGGAGCGCCAAGAGCCAGGAGCGCCTAAGTGTGTTGCCGAACTTTCAGGCCTTGCCCGCTGCCCTGGAAGATCTGTGGGACCAGAACCTTCCCGAGGGGGGTCTGCTGTGCATACTATTAACCAAGGCGGGAGGAGTCTGGTCCTAGCTGGGCCAGTGCCCTCTGGCTGAGCTGTTCTCTGTGTCCTGGTCTGAGATACCCAGACCTGGGATGAAGTGCCCGTATCCGTTTCCATTTTCTCGTCCTCCCTGTCTACCACAGTGCTGATGTGGGGTAGCTGAGTCACTGAAATATAAGAGACGAAAAGGGACAGCGATGAAATTTTAAAATGCCAGAGTGAAATGTCATAATAACAGAAGATTGAACGTGAAAGCCGCCTAGGAGTAGAGGCACCGCCACCCTGGTGGCTGTGAACCGTGGCAAGTGGACTGGTCATCTCGGAGCTGCCTGTAGGGGTGCTATCCCCCTGAAAGGCCCCGGCTACACAGCCACGCAGGAGTCAGCACTAAGCCTTTGCTGCAAATGATTTCACATCCAGGGCCAAGGTGAGCTCAGAAGCACCAGCGCCCGTCTTCCCAAAAATGCCTTTCAGTTGGGTCCCCTTTCCTGCTGCAATAGAAAGATGGGGGTGGGGAGTGCCTCAGGCCCTGCCTGGAGCTCAACTCCTCCACCCTAGGACAGGCCACAACCCCGATCACTCGGGCCCCACACCGTCCACATGTCCACGTGTCCACGTTCCCTGCCTTCATGCTTTGTCTCTGCTCCTCAGGCACCTTCCCTGACACAGCCCAACGCCAGCGTCGACCCAGGTGGAGAGGAGATGAACAGCTGGCTTTCCACGGCTCTGTCACCAGGTCCTCTGCTGGGGGCACATTCACGCTCAATTAAAAAGGAGGTGGTACCGAGACTCAGCCAGATCTGTTCTCCTCCCCAGAGCACGATACATTGGTTTTCACCTTTACTGATCGAAGAACAAAAAATAAACTGAGCCAAGGAACTACGGGTAGGAAGTGAAGAGAGCTTCCTAGCTAATGGGAATATTTTAGTCACTGGAAAGATCCCTTCCAATTTGTGGCAAATTTTATTCCTACTAGTTCTCTACAGGTCTTTACACATAGTTGACACTCGGAGAAGTCTCACTGATAAAAGGTTGTATAATCCCCCGGAGAGCTTTAAAGACAGAAGAGGTATATTTTGGGGATGTGTTAGATGCAAGGTCATGCTATGCCCTATTACTTCAGTTTCAAACATGGACATGCCCTAACCCTACATTAGACTGTTACATTCTCATAGCCCGAGTCTGAATTACTAGGCCTCACTAGAATATTCTAGTATTGACAAGGTCAACTTCATGTTAATCTCAACTTATTTTTTAAAAATCGAAACTTAACTCCTTATAAACAACACTGTAGGGGGCTACGGCAGACGCAGCACATGCAGCCTTGACAAGGAAGCACGCTCTCCAGAGGGTGGGCACAGGGAACCCGGGTTTGCCACGTGTCACCATTCTCCACCACATGCTTTAAACCTTTACCGTCCCTGAAGCTGAGACGCACCTTACCATCAGTAGCATGTTAGACCTGATGAGATACAGTTGCTGCAAAATGGAATGAGTAATGATTAAAATCTCCCCCACCAACTACCCTGCCAAAAAGATCTAATTTCCATTTACTGCTTTTTCAAAGACGTATATAATTCTGCAGTTTCCGTTGCTCTTTTATGTTTTCCAGTCATTCTCGAGCAACCACAGAACTTTTAGCATCCCCACACCTTCCTGATAAATGAACAGGGAAGATCTCTTCCAATCCAGAATGCAACCAAACCCTGAGTGTCCAAGTCAATATAACGCATGCTGCTACACGTCAAAAAGGTCAGTGCACTGTTATGTGTTGGCTAACCAAAGGGCTGTGCTTTATGGAGGGTTATATTAAAGTAACTGTGCATATACTGAGCTCATTTCTTCTTTTTTTCAAAAATATATTTTTAATTGATTTCAGAGAGGAAGGGAGGTGGAGACAGAGATAGAAACATCAATGATGAGAGAGAATCATTGATTGGCTGCCTACTGCATGCCCCACACCAGGGGCTGAGCCTGCAACCCTTGCCTGGAATCAAACCTGGGACCTTTTAGTCCGCAAGGCTACGCTCCTCCCACTGAGCCATACTGGCTAGGGCTGATCTCATTTCATGTTGCATGGAGCAGGCTATAAGAAAGAATGGGAGGACACACATACAATGGGAAGTCAAGGCAGCCCCTCAGATACTTGGTCACAGCCAGGAACATCACATGGATAGGGCTACACCACAGCTACTTTTGGGGAAAATATTATGTGTTAAAATAAATAGGAAGGCTTAACATATCCTGCCAACTACAGAAATGTTCTGGAAGTTCCAGACTTCTTTGTAATTAATCGTGAGATTATAAATATGAAGACTGTAGATGGGGCGTATAATCAAAGTGTCCTCATTTGCAATCACTCTGACACATCATTTGCCACTAATATTTGCAAGTTTTGGGGTGTTTTTTATATAAAAGGAGGTATTTGAGAAATCAAAATATACCAGAACTAGCTACACCAAACTTTACTAGCTCATTTGAATTTGCTCCACGCCAAGTTGCAAAAGCATATAATAATACTACTAATAGTAGTAATACTATTATATAATAATATAATATATAGTATACTATAATATATAGTAATACTATAATATATAGTATACTATAATATATAGTAATACTATAATATAATAATAATACTAATAGATAAGGCAGCTAAGTAGACTGCCTTATCTAAAAAGAAATTTTGTTTTAGGTTCCTCAGACAAACGTTAACCACATTCGTGTGGTTTTTTCACTAGTCAGAGAACAGATGTCACCTGTGCTTAGAACTAAGGTTCCAATTTTCAAATTGAGGGCACGAAGCTCAGAATGTAGCATCTTGTCCAAAGTCAAAAAGCAATGCGTAGCCCCACAAAGAGACACCACTACCAGGCCCCACTGTGTCCTGGGTCTCTTAAGAAGGGAAGCGAATGAATGAAAGGAAGGACGTATTCCCCATCACCTCCATCTGCCAGCACACGCTCAACACTGGACACTGCAATCAATTCTTTAGACAAGGCAGGGAACAAGGAGACGGAAAGTAAAACAACGGTGTGACCTCAGGCCCCTTCTATGAGAGGACTAAGTTTCGAGTCAGAGAAAACTAAGGAATCAAACTTAATAGGAAAAGCAAAACAATAACCATGAACTAAGATGATCTGTACAAGACACTTAGAAAGATCTGAGGATCCCCTCTCCTTCCCCCAAAAGAGACAGATACAAGAATAGACTATTCTTCACTGCCTTCCCCGTGGCTCAGTGAGATTTGTTTGAACAGGAATGTTATAATAAGAGTAGCCAACCTGCAGACACATAATACCGTTGCTCTAAAAAAGAACATTTTAAAAGCAAAGTGGATGGTTAAATGTTCTGCCAGTGCAAATGTCCTGTTTAGCAAGAAGAGTGTGAGAGT